TAAAACCCGCTTGGCTCCTTTCCAAGCGGATACCCCCTGTGGACGCTGCCCTAGCCCAGGCAGGTGAGCCTCGGGCTAGCAGATGGTGACCAGACTTCAGCGGGAAGTGAGTGGCCAAGGGCGCTGGAGGGTTCCAGACGTACAGCGGTTAAGTCAGGCAGCTCGGGCCAGGAACGCCCTAGGGCTCCAGCCGCCTTCTGATCTCAGCGACAAGCTTTTCTCTTGGGATATCAACCTACAAAGCAAACGGAGAGGAGGAGGAGGTTGCAGCACTGGAACCCTGAGCAGAGCACGGTTCGACCTGGCCCTAAGGACTTGCTGTGGATACCAACGCAGTTTGTGACTGCTTTTCTGGACCCAACAGACCTGTGCTACAGCTCCCCAAAGGAACAACGTCACCGAGGGAAAACCCGGAGCCTTTCAGTAATCTCTAGATTTTGGAAGCACTTTTGAAATCTGGTGTAAAAAGGCATTCTCACCTCCTTTCTTGTTGCGACATCTCGTAGCTTGACGACTCCATCTGTCAGCTCTTGCTCTCCTACAATGGCAGCAAGGGGGATCCCCGTGTCCTCGCAATACTGCAGCTGCTTCAGCAGTTTAGGATCCTTCTTGTACAGCATCTCTGCCTAGGAGGGAGTGGAAAAGGTGAATCATTAATGCAAAATTTGCTCTGATGGATCTTGGAGCAAAACAGCCAGCACCAAAACCCCACAGAAAACTCTGCCTCATCATTCCTGTAGCAAGCAGTTGCCTCTAGTGCTCTCAGCTGTTCTCCTACCCTGCCTGCTAGATCTCAGACAGGCCCAGATCCTGAAGGGACACACAACTAATGGAGCTGGTCTTGCCGTGCTACAGCTCCCTTCAGGCTCTCCCTCCCTCACCCACACCAGTGCCAAGCCCAAGTCCTTACTTTACCTTGATCCCTGCGTCCCACAGCTCGGAGATGAGCTTCAGTCTCGCAGCAAGTAAGTGTTTCTGAGGTGTAGCCACCAGCACTTGTGTCTCAGTCGTTCGAACTTTCTCCCCAGAAGCCTGCAGGGACAGACACACTTGTGAGAGTGACTGGCTCCGAGGGAATCTGCAGCTCGCAACAGAAGCTCATCTCACCTTGTCTTCAGACCTTAACTTAGCTCCCCAAAACAAGTATACTCAAAAGCTAACCATCACCATTCAGCGAATGTTACTGAGCAAGGCTAACCTTCCAGAAGCAAAAAGAGTGCACAGATAAGACAACCTGGGCACATTTAATGAGTCCCCCAGAGAATCTGCATTGTGACACGTTACTTAATTGTGTGCTGCTGTTCCTGTGGGACTTTGGCCTTACTACCTCCCTCCCGGCTGGACAGCTTTCCAATTTTGGAAAATTGGAAAAAATTTGTACCTTTAATTCTTCAGGTACAAACATATTGCCACAGCCTCACTTGCTGTGAATCACAAGCTCAGAACTAAAGGCAGAGTGATGAATTTCCTCACAGGCTTTCGTAGGGTGCTCATTACAGAGTGAGTGCCACAGCTGTTACCAAATTCATCACTTCACAATCCCCAAGACAGAAAACTTCACAGACAAGAGCAAAGTGACCGGGGCACAAAGTTCAGAGCCAGGACCAGAGCTCAGGGCCTGTCTCTAATGCTTCCTTGGCGTCTGCTATGAAACGCTGCCCTCAGCTGCCCAGGCCTGCATCCTGATGGGCTGCAGAAAAGGGCTCTGTCTTCTGTGCATGGACATTCAGGCATGAGAGGAGCCACCCTCTCCCCCAAAATTCTTTCCCCTCGAACACTGTGGAGGAGTTGTAGAGCTCTGTAATAAATGATAGTTGGCCTAGAGCCCTCCCCCATGCACCGCCTGCAGCACCTACCTTCACTCTCTGCTCTAGGATGGAGAAGATCCGCTCGATCCCAATGCTGACCCCCACGCAGGGCACCTTCCGTCCCTTGGGATCAAACATCCCCACCAGCCCGTCGTAGCGACCGCCTCCAGCCACGCTCCCAACGCTGACTGACTCCTCCACATGGTCGTTCTCCTGCTGCAGCAGGACAGCCTCAAAGATCACCCCCGTGTAATAGTCCAGACCCCGCGCCAGGCTCAGGTCGAAAGAGATCTGTAGGACACAAGGGAAGCCCCGTCACTGGGCGCACTCGGGGGGCCCAGGCTGCCCAGCCACGAGGGCAGCACCCCCTCCTGCCTCTGCACCTCCTCACCTTCCCTGTGATGCCAAACAGGGTCAGGTACTCAAACAGCAGCTTCATGTCCCCCAGCCCCTCCTTGGCCAGCTTGTTCTGGGACAACTTTGGGTCCTGGAGAAGCCGCTCGATCAGGTCCAGGCCACCTGTGGGAACGAGCCACGCCTCAGGTCTGCCAGTGCAGCAGCACCCGCAACGATGGGCCCGGCCAGCCGTGTATGTGCCTTGCACCCCTCCATCGCTGGCCCTGCCTGCCCGGCCTGGCAGAACAAGGCCAAGGGCTCGACCCCACTGTGCTCACCGTGAAGCTGGACATACTCCCCGATGTGATCTGCAGCCTCGGGAGAGAGCCCCTTCTCTCCTACCATCTCGCTCCTCACTTCTTCCCAAGGCATCTGCAACGGGAGAGAAGAACATCTTGTTGCTGCAGGACGTTCTCATCACTCGCTGTCTCCACCAGCCGACGTATTCACAACATGTGTGGGAAGACAGCAGTCAGCAATCTCATGAATGATCCGCGTCTCTCTCACGGGAATTGTTAACAGAAACCACTGGAAACACCAGGCTTTATTCTTAACCACGACCAAGAGCTCCCCAAATCCTTTACAAACACCAATGGCTTGGCTGCTGTGAACCTCTTTATGATGAGAACAGCCACGAGACTGCCCAGCCTGAGGCATCCACCCCTGAGACTGGAAGCGATCTCCCCACGAGCACAACGCTCACCTTGTCCAGCTTGTCCACGGTAGAGCACGTAGTTATGAACTTGCTCTCTGGGATGCCGCAGACGGCAAACACACCATTCAAAATCCGTCGATCATTGACCTGGGGGTGGCAGAGGCACGCTTAGCTCGGGGGAGATGCCCTCGCCGCCATTTCTTCTTGCCCCAGAGGTGCAGGAAGCTGCAGCTGTTGGCGTTTCCTCGTGCCTTTTCACCGGCGCCTCAATCCCACGGGAAGGGAACGCGCAGAGGTACGAAAACCACTCGGCTCTGATCTCACCTTAATGAGAAAGTCCCCGAGCTGGAGGTCACTCAGGATCTCGTGCACGATCTTCAGGCACTCGGCATCGGGAATCATCGGGTCGAACTGGCCGGCAATGTCAAAATCCTGGGGGCAGAAGAGGCGGCAGAGGCTGGTCGCACAGGACAGGGGGCTCTGGGCCCCCCCGCG